TTGTAACCGCCCAAGTTGCACGAATTATACGTTAACTATCACTTGCCAGATGAGAGTTTCGGTTACCAAATAAGGATTAAACTTGGCCCTCCACCCGTAAAAAAACTAAACATTGCGAAATTCACCCACACACTGTTCAAAAAGTATCCCTACTGGCTGAACATCTTGGCTGATGCTGTCACTTAAAAACTCATTGGTAGGAGTCACTGCCTAGCGCTGACGTGTAGATGGGAGTAATCACGAAAAAAAATCAGTTGCCGCGCATAACAAGGTTGATTTACATAGTAGGACGTTGCACAGCATCAGGTCTTTTTCTCGTACGCGTTAAATATTAATCTACTAAAAAGTAGAAGTAGGCACTTTTTCACTAGCAAGGAAACTATCGTTACGTGGACATAAAAATTCTTGACATGAATTCTGTGTTTACCAGTGACCTTGTTTAAAATACCAACACTGTAGGATCCTGCGAAAATCTGACTTGACATGCATGCCATATTTTCAGCCCTCATTATCATGGGCTAATGACGATGTTCGCTGGTCCACTCTCCAAAGCATATGCCTTCAAGTATTATAGGAGTCAGTCTTCGCCATAAGTCTTTAATTTCCAAAAAAACAATTAAGTTCGCATTTGTCCTTACCTTCATTTCTGTGTCCACACATACTAGGTCTTTCAGTAAAACGAGGAAACCCTTTCTACGATGCCTTTCTTTGGTTTTACAATTACGAAGGTTAAAGTTTGCGTCAGTCATGGGATTTGACGTATTCCTTTTACTCCAGGCGTGCGCTTATTTGATTACTGGTGACATGATATTGAGCGATTGCACAATTACGTCCTCGATCTTCATAAGTGATAGAAGCTGAAGCTTCTTTTACAGTCATTTTATAGACTGACAGTTTTATGGCCTTTAGAAAGGAGTGAACACTGGAACTTCAGCAACAAACAACCAAGAGGTTAGCATAGACCCTACTCCTGCATCTAAGACAGTTAAAAGTGGTAAGTTCACTGTAAGCGGTAATCTTAGTTCTAGGCAACCTTTCGTCCTTGATAGTGACGTGATCCATTAGTTTGCGGATTACCCGGGAAGAGATTTCTGAGTGACAAAATGCCAACAATTCAACTCTACGTCGTCATTTGAAACAGCGGCGATGCAGCGCGAAACTTAGTATGTGGGTTCCACGAGTTCTGACCGAACTGAACAAACTGAACCGTGTTTACACACAGCCATTTCTCTCCTCGCTCGTCAACAAAACGAACCATTCGTCAATCAAATCACAACTAATTATAAAAACTTCTGTGTGTACAGGAAAGAAATAAGAAAAAGTGGTTGGGACCATTAAAGTGAATGAGCAGCATCTGTATCAAGGGTTGGATTACTGCATCCAGTGCCAGGGGTTTCAAAAGAAAGATTTTGCTCGAGGAATGGTTGTACTGATTTCCTAACTCAGTGTTCGAAACGCAAGCTAAACCAGAAAATACGACCGGTCGAAAATCATCATGTTTCGCTATGACGATAGTGTGTCACACATCGCTCAATGGACATTGTGAGGGCACAGAGAGTTAACATGGTTCGTCCTTCTGAATGCAGTTTCGTTTCTGTTTTGTTCTTTGCGAAATAACGCGAATGGCAAAACATTTGGTGGCATTGATGGACAAAACTGCCACCTGACTTTCTTTAGAGAGAAACAACGCTGTTTTTACAAAGAAATCCAAAAATGTGTAAAAGGTCTCTTCGTCAATTATAAAGGATGGATGGTACATAAATGACTAACTAGCACTATTTTTCAGGAAAAGGTATTATATTTAATCGGAATTCAATCGGCCACTAACCGTGAAGCCACTCAATATATGTGCAACAACTAAGTCAAATTTGCAAATTCTTTTTATGACTACTTAAATAATATAAGTAGTGATCAGATTTTGAGTACTATTTTCCCAGCAACTTCGAGAAATTACATGTTATTGTTAATTCAGTTCATTTCATTGCAAATTCTCTCAGCGGTGCTGACCTGTTTCTCGATGTTGACATTTCGCCGGACTGTGCACCGAACTTCAAGCGTATTAAGTGTTGGCCAATTTACTTACCCTAAACTTACAAGGTAGGAATAATGGCCAGCCAGTTCCATTCACTGATACAAAAATACGACAAGAGCACAAATGCTAGTACCACCCTCGTATTTTACCCGTGTGGCTTGGCAGTGTTGTGGAAGTGGAAACTGCACGTCTAAAAAACAGCTTTGAGATTGAACACATTGGGTGTCACCCACCTGAACGACCGAAGGACGCCAAGTGAGAAGAGCAGTCTAGCAAAATATCTGAACCAAACGAGGTCGGTTCTGTTATGGGTTAACGATATCCAAATGCAGACACAAAAGGATAAAATTAGGGGAGATGGGGACAACGCGGAATGCTGAATGATAATTACAGAGAAAAAAAAACGTAAATGACTCAATCCATAAAAAAAGTATAATATTTACTTGGTTAGCGCAAATCAAGTCCGCCTTTCTAATTTGCAATCATGCATGTTGCTCTTAATTATTGTCTATTTGCATGCGATGGGGATAAAACATCAATAGCGACTTCTGCGTGACTATTTTAATTGATATTAACTTGGCTGATGGTGGTTATAAATTTCGGCATCTGTTTCTAACATCTTCAGGGCCGACAAACCTGCGGTGATTCCCAAATCTACACGTCCATGGCTTGACCTGACCTGAGCCGATTCCCGGAGTCTGGCGGTTCCTGAGGATGCAGCCAAAACCGATTTCAATCAACACATTTAATTTGCATATAAGCTCTCCGGCATTCCTTTTGGTTTGGGATGCTGACGTGTCAAAAGTTCATGAAGCAAGACCGGCGTAGTCTCATTTTTTTCTGTGCTATTGAAAATAACAAGCACTTTGAGAGCTCACCATATTAAGGCTTGTGGCATGCTACTAACCGTCGAAATGTGGTTGAGAGTAAGAGGCGTCGCTCTTCTTAAAAAATGCCAGTGTTTGAGACGGTACCCGTAGGCTACTCTATTTGCATATTTTTATCCATTATCTATTATGTACTTGATTATTTTACATCCTGCCACATTTTATTGCAGGGTTTACGCATCTGACTGACCTGCTGCATTTCAAACGGGAAAAACTGCCATTGAAAGTCACGAAACTAGTGGAAGAACATGAGCCTGTTCAATGAGCCAGTGCAACCCAAGCAGCCATTCTCGCAGCTCTCTAACCGAACCTTAATTGCCCTTAGCGACTCGAGTGCGCTTTCCATGCAAAATTCAATCGAACGAGATCCACGCATCTCCTTACCAAGTAAGGTTTTAAGCTCTGAGCCACTTTCGGACAGGGTATGAATTCTCAGACTTTGCCAATCACAGGGCCTTGGTTTGGGCTATTCCTGTGCCACCTGAACGGTGCAACCAAGAGAGCTACATAATTTTGTCACTCTGCGTTGGGGAATTACGAAGTACGATACAAATTTCAAGACCCTGGATTGTGATGATTAGTGAATATTTAGGCTTCAAAAAATTAATGAGATCAATTTAAAAAAACAACCAAACTGTCTCTACCGAGAGAAAATGTCTGCTTAGGGAGTTTAGCCCACGTCACAAGACAACCTCATTTACAATCCAAGTTATACTTACACCGGATTAATGATTTGGATCATTGTTGTAGTAATGAAACCACTATTACTGTTTGGCAACAGCGAGGCAACGTCAACAGTATCAAAGGCACGCCAAAGTTTCCTATCGGTGATATTTTTTCTTAAAAATATCAATCTCTAATTCTTTATTTAGACTAACATCTGTGGGCTCTTAACTAACCGCTTCCTTTTAGATGGCGAACTTTAATCCACTTACCTTTGTAGCCTAAATTAACCAGGTAATGCCATCGAATAATTGGCTTTGTGCATCAGGTGTGGTGCTAAGGACGTTCAAACAAGAGTAAATTTCAGAACTGAATAATTAATTACGCTGGCAGCAAATAACAAGGGAATTATAAAGCAGGATACAGCAATGTGATATATTGCAGTCTTAGTTTAGTGCGTCAGGCTTTGCTGAACAGAGAGATAGGTTTGGAACAAAGAAACCTGGCTATCCAGTTGTTACTCACCATTCTCACAAGCATTTTTGCATTGAAATAAAATTAAAGACGGAATACACGTGAAATGCTAACACATATAAGTGTGGTGACCGATAACAATTTTCTGACCGAAGGCCCACAAAACAGAGCGCGTGGCTCTGAGAATCACATCGGTGATTCCTTCTTGAAAACACGTAAACTGACTTACGGCGAGTGAAAAAAGTACACCGACTAACTGTTTACTTACAGCACACATCCAGACAAATAACTGACATACGATTTTTATAATCAGGTAAGAATAAAAGGGTGCAGATCTTTTTGGAAGTTACCATTAAAGGCCGTAAACTCTTTTATTGGGAGGTTTGCAGTCGAGACACGCATTTGTACAAACCTGACTGATAAAATCGTCGCCCAACGTTTGCTGTTACTTGTGCGTGCGGTTCGACTTGGAGTGCATTTAAAACCTTAAATTAGGGGTGCATAGACTTTGCTAAGGCACGCCTCGCAGACATTCCTCTGCTGGCGAAGGCGTAATTTCGGTAAATTCCAATTTAAATTGCGCCTCTGGTAAAGTCACTTCCCCTGGAAGAAACAAAGACTTCTACTGATCCAGATCATCATCAGCGACTGTTGATCAGACTGTGGATCGTACGTACCATAACCTTCATTGTCATTTTAATCAAAATAATCCAGTTAACACTAGCGGAAAACAACAGATTAAGTGATAGAGTAAATTTTTATTTGGAAATGTTCTTTTCGAAACGTAGCGAGTTGATTGTCATGGGACACAAAACAAAAGCTCGACAAATGAAAGAAATGTGGAAAATTTAAATGCAAAGAAAAAGTACACACCGACAGAATTAAAAAAAAACAGCAGAATACTTCGAATGATTGAGGATAGTGAGATCAGGAATTAAAGCCGCCTAAGCGTCGATTTCCTCGCCCGCAGGCAAGTCCTCATCATCTTCTTCGTCCCCCACTCCGGCCTCCTGATACTGCTGATACTCGCTGACTAGATCGTTCATGTTAGACTCGGCCTCGGTAAATTCCATCTCATCCATGCCCTCTCCAGTGTACCAGTGGAGAAAAGCCTTTCTGCGGAACATGGCTGTGAACTGCTCGCTAACGCGTTTAAATATCTCCTGAATCGCTGTCGTGTTGCCAACAAACGTTACAGACATCTTGAGACCCCTTGGCGGAATATCGCATACAGCAGTTTTCACGTTGTTAGGGATCCATTCGACAAAGTATGATGAATTTTTGTTCTGGGCGTTCAACATTTGGTCGTCCACCTCCTTCATTGACATGCGACCACGAAACATGGCTGCCACGGTGAGGTAGCGTCCGTGGCGGGGATCGCAAGCAGCCATCATATTTTTGGCGTCAAACATCTGTTGAGTTAGTTCGGCCACCGTGAGTATCCTGTACTGCTGACTCCCGCGGCTAGTAAGTGGGGCGAATCCGGGCATAAAGAAGTGCAGGCGTGGGAAGGGAACCATGTTAACAGCGAGTTTTCTAAGGTCGGCGTTCAGTTGGCCAGGAAAACGCAGGCACGTGGTAACACCGGACATGGTAGCCGACACAAGGTGATTCAAGTCACCGTAAGTGGGGTTGGTCAACTTGAGCGTGCGGAAGCAGATGTCATACAGGGCCTCGTTGTCGATGCAGTACGTTTCGTCTGTGTTTTCAACCAGCTGATGAATTGAGAGTGTGGCATTGTAGGGCTCCACAACGGTATCTGAAACCTAATAAAGGAAACACACACATAACTAAGTCCAAATATAACTTTGACACTATGAATCTAAACTGTCAGTTGACTAAACTATGTTAAATATGTTTCTTTGAACTCGCATTTTAATAAAATGGACATCTTGAATTTTGACATTCTTTTGAATTCTACTGGTTAACTAAGATTCTACAACTGACAACGCAATAATGAATGCCACACTAACCTTAGTCAATTATATTTGATTTATAATCTGCGAATAACTTTTTTAATCTGAAATAAGACCCGGTGCTTCAATAATACAGTGTTGTCAAATAGAGGAGTAGCATAGAGACAAAGGTGGAACACATTTCTGATCCTTTCATATTTCAAAAACTGCTTAGTCTCATCAACTAACCTTGGGTGAGGGCATAACGGAAAAGGTGTTCATAATCCGATCTGGAAACTCCTCGCGCATCTTTGAGATGAGCAGCGTACCCATTCCAGAGCCAGTCCCACCTCCCAGTGAGTGGCACATCTGGAAGCCCTGAAGGCAATCGCACGACTCACACTCTTTGCGAATAACGTCCAGCACTGACTCCACCAACTCTGCGCCTTCCGTGTAGTGTCCCTTGGCCCAGTTGTTTCCAGCTCCGCTCTGCCCGAAGACGAAGTTGTCCGGACGGAAGAGCTGGCCGAAGGGTCCGGCACGAACGCTGTCCATTGTGCCAGGCTCGAGGTCCACCAGAACGCAGCGCGGGACGTACTTGCCTCCGCTGGCTTCGCTGTAGTAGACATTGATGCGTTCCAGCTGGAGCTCAGAGTCCCCATGGTAAGAACCGGTGGGATCAACACCGTGCTCATCAGATATCACCTCCCAAAACTAAAATCACAATCGATTCAACTTCAACCTACGTACTAGAAATTTTCCTGCAATGTAGGTAAATAAAGGCAAACTCTCTTTAGAAAGATTTCACTACACGAATCAACACCCTATGTGCCAAACAAAAAATGCATCGCTGTGTGGTCTGCCACACTATTCCAAAATAATTGACTTAGCAGATAACTTAAGGGACATCAGTGTTAGGTGTCTGTGAGGGTAAAAGGAAAACAGAGACCCGCACACAGACACAACATGCGGTTATCTGTAATCGATGACAAACACCATATGCGACCTAAAGTGATATTTGCATCAAAAGAGTAATCGTTTTAGGTATAATCCCAGCTATAGTATCTAAACTTCCTAATGTCACCTAGGAAAATTTTTTATTTTACGCCCACATTTTCATATTTGCTAAAATGTAAACACTCGAGCCGATTAGAGCCACCTGTCATCTACGTTTTGGGGAAAACACGCATGTTAAAAACGAAAATTTCCAGGGCCATCCGAAATGAAACTTTACCGACCCAAACATATTCACCAAATGTAACAACCACAATTAAATCTCGGGGATAATTGCCATAACAAATCGTGCATTCGCATATTTTATGTTTCCTAATTTTTTTTTGTTTTGAGGTAGTGCAATTTTTCGTAGGAGGCCTCACACACAACTCAGGGAAATGCGAAATAGTGGAAGTTGCGAGTGTCTTGTTAAGAGAGGAAAAGCCCCAGGTACCCAGATCTTACCATGAACAAATAATCACTTGGCTCAAATTGCAGAACCTGGCATTTGGTTTCATTTCTAACAAAGACCAATTGGTAACACAATTTCATGAATCCATCAAAATGAACAACACGAAACAACACTCGAGTGAGAGCAAGTAGGAAGCTACGTTGGAGAAAACAGCATATGGTTGCTTACTTTGGAACCAATTTGGTTTCCACATTGACCCGCTTGAATATGAACAATTTCGCGCATTCTTCTTTATGCAAGGAGAGCGAGCAGCAACTTTCCAGAGGCTAGGCTTTTGGACAGTGTTCGAAGCTTCAAATCTGGCCGTGACTCACCTTCAATACCGAACTACAGAGATTGGTAAATGTCGCTTGGACCAATCACAACGTAGCAGGCTGTTGGCATCGATCGCCGTGTAGGCGTCCGTGTCTGTGACTTGTTCATGTGTCGTCAGCGCACGCAAACGTAATCGCATGCGTTGCTTCTTGCACGCACCAGTGCGCACGAGGCACAGGAGTGACTTTCAGGCGGGATGGTTAGGTATGCGAACCGAATATTCCAGCTAGCAGGCGCAATTCGAACGAAGGTTTAAAAGTGGGCCACTGCGGTTACTCAGTGAAAAGGTCGTGTGAAGTAGGCTTTCATTTTACCCAAGAAAATCTGTAGTCGAAGCGGACTGACATGCAGTCTAGTTTTCAGCCGCAGTTTTAATAAATGAGCTGATTCAGTGTATTACAATCAGCACTTTCCTCCACATAGACTGCTGTGCTATGCAGTGACAACCAACTTTATTGCATTCATTTACCTGTCACCTCGAATAGTCGCCTTCACTCATTATACGAAATGTTAAAAAGACTTGGAATCTTTTTAAGCTCCCTCACTCTTCCTCTCCTCGCACTTCACGCAAATTTTTATTACGGAATGCTTCAAAAATAGTAAACGCTTGTAAAAGAGCAAGTTAAATATTTTCTGATTGAAATTTTGCTTGACTAGCACCGCTTTTGAGAAGCCCTTCAAAAGGTTTTCCGACTACACGCATGATCATTGTGTGTCTTGGAATGTATGTGGGTATGGATGCCATTTTTTGACATAATGGACACTTCGTTTTGAGGCCTCCCTGCATGAATGCTCCTAGGTGGCTGTTTAGGTACTGGAGCATTAATTTAAACCAAATTACATTTTAACCTTACTGACAAAAAACGAAGCGGTTTTGTCAGTAAATCACCGAAACGCTTACCTCTTGAGAATTATTTCAATAACTTGCGTGACTGTCTTGTGTCTACTTGGTCTTGTCTTTTACATCACCGTAGCTGTATCTTTAGCCTCTTATCTTGTCTCGGGTGCAAAATATCGAGTACATAATTGCACGAACCACTTTTAGAGCAGTATCAGATCTCAATCTATTCTATTTCGCTTATTATTGTAGTACAAACCAACTTATAACAGTTTTGATGACAAAAATATTTTAGATGCACTTACTTCCCTTTATTCATTTCCCTTTATCACTGCTCAAATGTAGTTTTTTTTGATAGAAACGACTTATCTTTTCAGCAGGACGATCTGAACATTCTTTTGTAAGTACCATGATTTTGACTTCAATTGAGATAACTCCGCAATTCCTGTGTGCGGGTTTTCTTGCACCACTAAAAAAGTAGAGATGATTCACCGTCGTGCAGAAATTTTGTAAAGATACCTACGTCACCTGGGATTTTGTACATTGTATCTTTGAATTGGAGGGCAGCTTTGGCAGATTTTGAAGTTGTTTGCATGATGCTTTGTGCACATGCAGTCTAATGTGCCTTTAGTGTACATTTCGGGAGGAAGTTTGGCCCGTGTGTTTATTAAACATGTTGAATTTAAGCCTGATGTTGAGAATGCAATGAAATAAATGATCATTTGGAATCCAAAGTCATTATATTAGAAGTTGAATGCAACAGAAGCTTAAGAACGGACTCTCAAATCAATGCCGTTGGGTAACCTTTACGCTACCTTTGACTTCCAAATCCATGCTCTCAGTAGCTTTAAGTGTAGTGCGATATTTATGCCAATGTTAAAACAAACAAAATAGCATCATACTGAACTAAGAAAACAGATTTTGACGTTCACTCTCTAGTGAAAAGTACTACTTTATAATATCCCAAAACGTTTGGACTCAAGCACCAATGTCCTTGTTAACATGCAGGTTTGTTTCAAGTTGGTTATGACCTGGACATCGTACAAAGACATTGCAATATCCTTCCAGCTTTGGTACTTCGCAAATGAGACCCCAAGTTACGTCCGTTTTTCGGTAACTCTGCTTGATTGATACACTAAATGACTTAAGAATCAGCGTCCTTGCTTTTCAGGTATGCGTCGCTATCACATTGGTCTAATTTATCCCTGAATGCAAATAATCTAAACAAGTCATAACCAGGCGTCACTTTACATTAGGCTTCCGTGTTTCGTCTAGGTTTAAACAAAAATTATCATGATTTTGAATCGGTATAGTAATACCACATACTCTGATAATATTTAAATGTCTTACCAGTAGTTCTATACCGTTAAATGAATGTTTCGAAAATGATATCACACTGTGAAATTCAATTTAAAGTTGTCAAAAGGTGCTTCCTGTCAAGAAGCACAGTTTCTACTAGCGTAAATAAACACTTTTTTTAGAATGCTCTGGTTACAAAACGGCCAATTCTAGTAAAGTAGAGTTCGTCCCAAAATCATGGCTGGTGAAGGAAGTAGAAAACGTAGGTGGTCAAGACTTTTTCCATGAATAAATAAGCAACGACTGAACCAAGAGAGGGAAAGTATTTTACATTCATAAACGTGCGAATTTGTCAAGAAATACCTTAATTGTGTTGTTGTATACAAAATTTAAACCCCATAAAGCCCACCAAATTCATCATAAGCTAATCAGACCAAGACAAACAATGCATGATTTCGGTTTAATTTTCACGCCTTGGACAGCATGTGACCTTTTGCATCACACTAATCCGGAGTTTTTTCAGTAGAATTATTTAAGAAATAAACGTGGGCGTGAATGAACCACCAAATATCTATCTTGCGCCACTAGTCATCGCACCCATCAAAGATAAACTGGCCCCCATCGTTGCATGCATGCTTAGTGTTTGGCAGCGCTCGAAAATTAAAAGAAACCAACTTTATTTTAATGTGGTTCAGTTACAAATTTCTTTATTCTCATACACTTTGGCTTACGTTCGATGAGGAGCACAATGAGAGGCAACATTTAGAATATTAATAATTTGCTTAATAATACCAACACTAGACTTTTATTCTAACTTATGTGGATCTATTACTTGCTTAGAAAACAGACCAATGTAACGTTGCCTTGTGCCAAGTTGCCGTTTTTTTCATTTTGTTCTCGCTCATCGACTCAACTCTTTCTTGAGGTAAAATGTGTGTGGTCGTCAAATTATTTTTCTGCAAAACTGGTGATACATTTGTCAGTCAGGTCATTCCATAATGTACCTAAACTGTTGCAATTAGTTGTAAGTAAAGACTTGACGTGGTAGGCATGCAACTATGGCTGAAGCAATTCGCTCCTTCAATGCAATCATTGATCGGTACATCCACTTGGCTAAGGGAGAGAGAGCAGCGGTGGCGATTGGTCCGTCTCAAATTTTGCGACAGATCTCAAAGCCATGTCGGTTACGCACTTAAATATATCAGAGGTTGGCTTTGGGATTTGGTGAGAAGCGTCTGTTTTCCCCTACCCGTGATAAATTAGCATTAAAATTCTTGTTTGGTATGGGTATGTGCAATCACCTATTGCATTTAGAGTGTTGCATTCAGTCAATGACAACTGAGTATAAGTGTTCGCTGGAATTAAACTGGCGAATTGACACACTAGCTTAGGAATTGGAGTTTATTGCGAAGTGTCTAGGGATATATCGGCCCCTCAGCTTTAAAATGGGTATTTTTGAAGATGGCGCACAGCTCGAATTACCAAACAGATATGCTACTTGAACATTCGTAGGTAATTGACTTTGTTTGTTTCAATGGATCACCATGGGCTAATACTTCTCAGGCGTTGAAGCAAATTCAAGTAGTAAATGATGATAATTGATCACATTAAATGAGACCTGCTATTATTTTATTAATGAGGTTCTGTCAATAATCATGAACTAGCTACAGTTTTGATTACTTGTAATAGCTTGGCAAAATATCTACCACAAATACTCAATTCTATTTTTGCGTAGTATGATAAATTTCGTTCAATGGGGCTGTTAAAAATATGTAGGCTTTTGTCTGCAGCAAAGATCGTTAGAACTTGCTTAATGCCACCCAGCTACATGGTCGTGCTTACATTTGTAAACTAAGACAGATATTCGACTGTGATTCCTTGGGACATCCACTGACGATTGCAGTTGATTGCCAACAACGAAAACTGTAATAACTGAAGTGACGAGTTGGTACAAAGTAAGCAACTGATGATAAGGTTTATTTTACAGCAGTAAATCCAGAATTGTGGTTCTTCAACGTCCAAGAAATTGTCTCAGAGGTGCAATAAGTTCTGCCTTAGAAACATTTATTTATTTTATTTTATATGTTGGTCGGGGTTAACAAAATGTTCACAAAAACTATAAGTGGAATTTGCAAATATGTCGGATGAAGATGGGATTCTCAACTTATCTAATAAAGACAATGGATTAACCAACCGTGTGTTCCAAAGTAATAATTAAGTGCCATTGTTTCTTATTAGCTAAATTATGGCATTTATCAAAAAAAAATAATGACAAAATTGGCAACTAAAACAGGTGATGTATTATTTTGGTGGAGTATGCGCGGATCGAGCTGATGGTGAGGCCAAGTTGTTCGCCAACATAGCTTACAAACATGATCGGACATTATGCTGTAGCTGCTTCGTTAGTGCTATTTGTAATCGATTGTTGATTATAGTTGACGTTCAATATTTATTCAAGCGTTCACTTGGGTGTCCAAATGTAAACAAAGCGTTCGATTCGCTATCATCTGCCTTATCTTTCCTCTCGGGCTGTTACGGACTGTCGACCAGCAGGGTCGGAAGGTAGCGCTGGTGAAGCCACTACTTTGCCGATTTAAATGCTGCGGCAACCTATGGAAGCAACGGTAAAGAATATTAACCATTTGATCAAGCGACCTTGACGGGTTCTTTTACATTTGCGACCACCCAGATGTTGTAATACATATTAAGAGAATTAGAGTACTCGCTCGATTTACAGATACAACGAAGGCAATCTTCAAGGTCAGACGTACTC